ATCTCGAAACGTGATTTTCCATAGCTCGGGAACATAGCCATCAAGAGAAGTCCTGGCTTATTTCCAATGAAGTTCCTGGCCTGTGTGATGCAGGTCAACGTGTCGTAGAGCTCAACGGATCCTTCAGGACCCATGTCCACTTGTCGTCTGCATTCCTTATGGATGCCATGCCTTGGATCATGTCGAAGACATCCGGAAAACGATCTACTCATTCTCTCGATTCGCCAGAGGATGAGATCGGTGATCTGTTTCGCCTTGGATGGATCCATGCGGAAGTATTTGCAAACCTGTTCGACATTCTGGACGGTCTTCTCGAGATCAATGTTGCCAATGTGGCATACCATCGGGATGATGTCGGTTCCGTAAACTTCGGATTGAGCATTGGTGTAGCAGCAGATGCTGTAGACCTTCTTGATGAAGTCCATGTATTGCTTCTCTGTATGAGGTCCTTCACCTTGAAGTGTTGGCTGCCAGCCAGTAATCGTTGAATCTGGCCTTCAGCCAAAATACCTTGACTCCATGTGGTAGTTCATGCTCAGGGATGAAGTGGAAATCCAGATTGACCTCAAGGATGGTTGAGCACTCCTTGTAGTATTCGTACACGAAATTCACAAAAGGGCTTGCAAATCATGTGCGTCTGGAGCAGACGCTGCACTTCAGCGTTTGACTGCGCCACGGACTTCTTGTTGCTGCCGCCTGGAGACTGCGCTGCAAGATCCTCGCGACATCTTGTTGCGGGCACATTGTCAGTTTCTCCAACTGGTCTGACTGTTGGTCGGCTGGAAGAACTTGAAGAGCTCGCTGCTGCACCGCGGGCCTTGGCGCACTGCTCAGTTGCAAGGGAGGGGCCAAGATTCAGAATTGGAAGTGAAGCCAAGGACGACCACCACTTGCGCTGGACGCCGATGAAGAGCATCACCAGACGAGCAGGCATTTTATGGCCTTTCCATGCTGTTGCGTTGAACCAGGAGGCCCACCTCCCGAGGTTCACTCGGTCGCCTTTCTTGTGAAAGATTTTTGACTTCTGAATCAGCGCAAACACGTGGCGCATGTGCTCCTCTGTGCCCTGCGACAAGGACGAAAGCTTCAATTCCTGATAGATGGGCTCGTACAAAGCAACAAATAGCGGACAAGTGTGGTCACGCAACTCGAAGTACTGCTTCGCGGACTCTGCCAACAACGTGAAATGGCCGTGTGAACCCCATGGCGCGGAAGTGGCGTTGTACAACACAACTCCTTGTTCTTCGGCTCAAAGTAGCTGAGCCCAACCTGCACCGTTTTCTGCAGACACTTGTCCAGCGCCAGTGCGAAGTACTTGTTTGGCATGAACTCAAAGGCCAGGTCTTTAGAGTCCTTTTTGCACTTCCGCTGCTGCGTCCTTCTCCTCCAGCTGCTCTTTTAGGAAGACACGGTTGATGTTGGACTCTACAGTGTTGGCCAAACGCTCCAGCAAGCTGTCAGCGCTCCGCTGGGCACGTCCATGTAGTTGCTCTTGAGCACCTGCAGGGTTTCAGTCAGGGTGAGAGACGCACAAGCGCGATACCATTTGCATTGGCGCAAACATTTGCCGACACAGCCCCTCCTGCAAATGTATTGAGAAGCAAGGAATCCGATACGTGTATCTGAAAGCACCATTTTCGATACAACTCGGTTTCTAGACATGCGCGCAAACGAAGAATGTTGTATTGAAGCCGCGTAGGCGCGATACGTTGGTCAGGCGCAGTGCTGCGAGCACGAAAGTTTGCTACACCAACGTCACCTGGCACATCTATCTGCCACGCGACGCAGTGAAGCCAAAAGAACATCAACACCGCGCCAGAACTTTTCCGCCGTGCCTGCGGCATGAACCAAGCCCCGAGGTTTTTCTCCACGTTCAGGCCAGCCACCACCAGGGTCTCCTCCTTAGGCTGGCCGACCTTGGACGCATCGTAGGCCAAGGACAAGCTCTGCACTTCGGCGAAGCCGCTTCTTCGTGCAGCCATCTGTCAGCGTTGTCAGCACCTGGTTCCTCTCGGGCCTGCGCCAAGGTCTTGATGCTTTTGGCCTTTCTTTTCTCCAAAGCTAGGCCAATCAGCGCAGACTTTCTGTCACCATCTGGCCGCCTCTTCTTATCCCCGCAGCGTGCCTCTGTGTCACCTTCCAACGGAGCCCTCAAGCCGCAGATAGTGTCTAAACCTGAAAAAGACAAAGCAAGCATCCAAAACAGCAAGCCCCACCTAATGAACCCCCTGCTATAGATCTTCCCGATCCGCTCGGGCAAGCACGCCGAGGCGACCGAGTCCTTTGCGCGCCTGAGGGACGCATGCGCTGCACGACCCCAATTCAGGATCGGGCAGCGGTGCGCGATTTGGAGCTGGCGCAAGCCCGGCATCAGGCCGCGTACGTCCAAGCGTACGGGCCTTCGGCCGTTAAGCCGGGCTGCATTTGCCGGAGTCGGCGCTTGAGCTCGGCTGGCTGCCCTCGACTGAGCCACATGAGTCCAAGCATCGCGTGGTCAAGGGCGGCATGCTTGATGATCAGAGGGCTCGCTTCAGCAAGTCTGAGTCGCTGCGAGGGCGCTTCTGGGCCGCATCTTGCACGCCGGGGTCCTCAGCTTGGCGACGCATGGACTCGCCGACTGGCCATGCGTTGGTCCTTCTCAGGCGGCCCCGCCGGAGTGAGGCACCGCCCGGGGGACGATTCCTTGCGCGTCTTCAAGGAGATGAGGCTGATCCGCCAACATATCACAACTGCTCACGTGCTGCTCTGGCCCTCGCAAGGCGGCGTGGTCCGGCAGTGTCTCAGCGGGCAAGTCTGCGGGCTGAAGCTTCGACTCGCCGAACTGAGGCGCCGCTCTGAGCACCCGTGCGGCTCCGTCTGGCGGCACACTGGGCGCGAGATCTTAACGCGGCCCAGCGTGGACATTCCGGCTATGTGGACCACGTGCGACCAGGACTTGATCTGCCTGCACTAATTAAAACTTTGCCGCTGTCTGGTGGCTTCATGTAGCACGAACCCAACACCCGCGCCGAGAATGCCCCCGTAAGTAATTTCCAGTATAGTGGTATTGCGAGAGTTCACACGACAAAGCCACAACGAATCACGACCAATTGATCCTCCTTGACGACAAGACTATTTTCTGTGAGACTAATAGTTTCACATCGATCCCGCATGTACAAAGCGTTTTGCACCATCTTTTGATACAGCTAGGTATCTCGCATCAAGTGTACAAACCGTTCTTTTTCAGTTGTCACCAAGACTTTTCATCCGAGCAGCAAAAAGGATGCGGCAGAAAACCAATCCTACAGCCAAAGGCCAAGAAGCCAAACATTACATAGTAATTCTGTGCTGGAGGTCAAAAGAAATTTGTGTCAGTTTGATTCACATGTTGCTCTCCACACATGGCTGAACTGGACGCTGGCCAAGAGTCCGTGGCTGCGCCTCAAACGGCTGGCCTTTGGGCAAGTGGACCCCTTCCGGGAACTGTGAAAGATTCTGGGGGGACCCAGGGACTTTTGAGAGGAATCGGGAATCGGGGGGTCGGGACGCTTCTATGCAACATTTAGCACAAGGCCCTTTTTATCATATTGTGTACATAGTCCTTACAGACTTTTGATACATTGATAAAAGGCTTGCAGACCGCTTTCGCAGGTATTACAGCAACCCGCAGTCACCAGAACTGTCCATTCTCTTGCACTCCATATTGGCATATATGGGATTTCCTGCGGAATAGATATAGGCACCACACAGACGATCCTCTACTACCACAAGGTATCGGTTCCCTTCTGGGAGAAGATGCCTAGCCGACGTCTGATGTAGGGGGTCCCCACGTACCGCGCGGTAATTTGATGACGTTCCACTAAACGTAGTCTTTGGGGAGAAAACAGAAATCCCAGGCTCGATTCCCCCTGCTGGCTCTTTGCTGGTTTGGGTTTCCTGCCTCTGTGTTGTTTGACGTCCTCTTTGCGAAAAGCTGGAAAAACGTGTTTTTTATGGGGAGCAAGGGGAAATGCAAGGAAGTGAATGGAAATGAGGGGAGGAAACAGGAAGTCGACATGACAGGAAAGCAAGAGGAAATCAAAGGGGAACAAAGGGGAACTGAAAGGGACATGAAAGGGACAGAAATGAAAACAAGGGGAGTGCAGGGGGAGTGAAAGGGGAACAAAGGACAAGGAAACCAATCGGCACGACGGGAGATGTAGGGAAATGACTCGCAACGAAAGACCGGGACACACACGCAAAACGAAGCGGACACACCGAGAAAACGTCAGGGACGGAAGGGGGAGTTGAAAGGCATGGAAGGGACATGACCAGGACATCATGGGAAACGTGAAAGGACATGAAGGGGAAATCAAGTGGAAAGCTGTTGGCAAGCAGACAGTTCAGGGTCGGACATCGAGCTCTGAGAGAGAGACAGAGAGAGAGAGAGAGAGAGAGAGAGAGAGAGAGAGAGAGAGAGAGAGAGAGAGAGAGAGAGAGAGCACAGAGAAAGAGAGAGAGGAGAGGACAATGTCGGTGGACTGAGCTGTGCCACAAAACACGCGCATGGCTTTGTTTCCTTCATTGGCCCCACTACAACGTCGATTTCGCAATTCGCATGTTGCGCGAAGCCAAATGCCAATATAGTTCAACAGGAGGGCCACAAAACGCCTCCCATTCCCAGGTATCCAAAAGATGTCGAAACTAAAAAATCCGGTCTACCCTCTAAATGAGGAGTGTTCAAGGGAAACCAACCTGATTACAGCGCCCAATAAAAACAAAACACCAAGCGTTCCACCCAGGCGCGCCATTTACATAGTAGTGCTTTTGCTTAAGCATATACAGTTCGGTGTGTACCAGGTCACCCTACCCTCCAGCAAGTGGGGAATCTTCATCATGGGGTCCGCGCTCGGCTTGCTCGCGCAACGGCTTTGCGCGCAACTCACAAAGTTATGTGATGCTTTGGCCCAGTTTTTCAGGGTTCCTTTGCTTCCGGCGAATGACCGCGGATGTTCAAGCGATGCAAGGGGTTTGAACACAGCGAGTCGGTCTCTTTTATGTCAGTGGGGCGTGCACACCCAAAAGGTGAGGCAGTACCTGCGCCCGAAGCTGGGCAAGACCTGGCAAAAGATCTCTCGACGAATGCTGTAACAATATGCAGCTCTTGGTCAGCTCTAGATAAGAGGATTTCATTACAGTCCTATTTGGTGTAAAGAGCATTTTAATTTGAATGTGTTTAAGGATTTTGTTTAAGCTTCACAAGGGGCCTTATAAGAAGCCTTGTAAAAGGCGCTTTCGCAAAAGTACAAGAAGCCGTTCAGGAGCTTTACAAGAAAGACGAAAGAACTGACACGGTAAAAAACACAGACCCACATGGGAAAACAAGTGGAGCTCACCAACACAGAATGTGAGGAACATCTTTGGTCCAGCCAATTGTCGACTTGTTTCCCCTCGAGGTATTGTTTGCAGTTTTGTTGGTTTTGTTTGTTTCCCGGATGCGTGGCAGAAGAGTTCACGTTATGGAAAGGGCTCGGGGGTCAGCATGTGTTCGCGAGATGTGTAGCCGTGTCCGCAAACGTTTGGAAGCATGTGCAAGCGGTCGCATGCGTTCGCAGGCGGCGAACGCAGCTGCGCCATTTGTGTGACTTGCGCCATGTTGTTTTCGTGGCGCCTATGCGCCAAAATCGTAGATTCAGCAAGGTTGCGTTTTTTTCCCTGCGCACGCGGGAAAGGAAAAGAAGAGCTGGAAGAAGGTTACGTGTTTGCCTTGCCTTGCCGTTGTCGTTTGCAATTCTCAAGCGATCTTTTTGAGGGGCATTTCCAATGGCCTTGTTGCGCAATCGGCTCATTTTGGCGAGCTTGAAGCTAATCAACATCAGGCGAAATCATTCTTGCCGCTGTCCCGTGCGAATTTCTGACACGCGACAAACGTGTCAGAGTTGAATTTCGCGACGGCGCGGCGCAGAACTCTGAGGGCGTTGTGCTTTGTCTGAAGCCAGCTTTGTGTGACAGACTACTCACTTTGGAGCACAGAGCGCTGATATCGTGGCTGATTATATAGATAAACAGAGTAGATTAAGAAGATCGGTCTGTAGATGGATGGCTGGACAGATTGAAGTTCATTAGATTTAGATTGGATAGACCGGCTAAATCTAGGATAGGTTACAAGAGATAGAAAGCTAGATGCATGGATAGATAGATAAGCAGATAGACCCACAGATAGACAGAGATAGACAGACATAGATTGATAAACAGATTTGACATGTTTCTAGAGGGGGGTCCCTCCAAAACAACAGGTCCAACTCCGGCCAAATGACCCTACAAACAATCAAATCCCCCTGGAAGCCGGACGCTAGAAACCGGTCTTCTGTGGTTCTCTGACTGCGGCTGTCCTTGAAGCCATGTGGAATCGCACGAGCACGCGCCCACCCTCTAGCTTGGAAATTAGCTCGCGTATTTCGGTGCCGACTCACTCAAACAAGCACAACAAGGCAAACCGAAACACAGTACCCCAAAGCCAGCCGAAAGCATTTCGGGCCAAGGCGGGCAACACGCAGCGTTTACAACTAAGATTGATAGATGGATTAGAGGTTAGTTTAGACTAGAACAGGTTGGAATAGACTAGATAGACACAAAGGTATGCAGGTAAGTAGATAAATAGATAGATAGGTGGATGTCAACAGGCAGGTAAATGCATAGGCAGTTTCTTGTTTTCGGGTGGCTGACAACCAAAAAAACACACCACACGTTTTTGGTTGTTTCTAGTTAAGGCATGAAAGACACACCAAACAACATGTGTTGTTTGGTTTTCCAGCAAGAATACCACAAAACCAGCACAAACAAATCAAGAAAACAAACAACAGCCATCTGCCAAGGACTATGCCAAAGAACATGAGCTGTCACTAGTTTGACACAATGTTCCCTCATCAGCCAACACATGCTACGAGGTCCTCCATTCAATCTGCTTCTGTGAAAACCATCCACTCAAAAATGCAAACAAATCACCAGATTTTGAGAGGCCAAAATGCTGGAATGCTTAACACACTAGTATTTCCAATGTGTGTGAGCATTGACAAACTAGGTATGGATTGATTGGGGCCGGTGACCATGTGTATATATATATATACTGTCCAGTGTCTATGGTCCTCGGGAAGGGGGCAGCGTTCAGAGGTTGTGGTAAAAACCATGTCCCTCCGCCCTTCACCTTTCCGGGGGACCCTTGACTTCTGTCCCCGTCCCCTGTGGAATCATGCTGGGTGGCTTCTGTTGCAAGCATCGGCTAACATTCTGGGGGAACCCAACGTCCGCGACCCCCCCTTCGGAATTGGTGGGTGACTTCTATTGCAAGCACCGGGTGCATTTTCGGGGAACCAAACGTAGACGTTCTTTCCTTCAGGGTTTATACAGTGATGTAGAAACAAGTGTTCAGGGTCCCCCGAGCTTGGATCACAAAGGTCCGACAGTAGAGTTTTGTAATGGGAGTTTCAATAGGAAGAAGCAGAGCTGAGAAGGCGCGGGGTGAGAATTGTTTGATAGCAAATCCCATTGGCTCGGCAACGGTTTGGGGTTTCCAGCTTCAAGAAAATGAGCACCGCGCTACAGCGAGAGGACCACGCGAAAGTCCGTAGAGGGTCAATTAGGCAGCTTGGGAACTGCAAAAACAACACGAGTTCTTGAAGGCTCGCGGCCCGAAACCACGAAAGGACCACGAAAAACAGCTCGCTGAATAGAGGCTCCAAAATGACGGCCCTGCCAGCAAACGAGGTTCATTTGCCGATAGGCCCAACGTTTTTGAACGGACCCCCCCAACAGCAGCCCCCCCCAAACCATGGGTGGGGGGGCATAATGTTGACGGGGGGTTATTAATATGGGTTGTTCCCCCTCCAAAAGTGGTCTGATTGCAACCACTGAACTTAGGGAACACATGCCTGGTAGTTTTTGAACCCCAGGGCAGGGCATACAAAAGCCACGGAAAAGCCCACGAAAGCCAAAAAGCCACCCACCCTGAAAAACAAAAAACAAATCCAAAAACAAAACAAAAAACAAAACAAAACACAACTCCTAAAACAATAGCCCTCCTATTTCTTGTTCGGAGAGGGGCTGGCTGATTTTGTTGGCTGTATTTCGCCTCGTGCAGCAGCTCCTTGGACCGAAAGATCACCGCGCGGCCCCCCACCGGCGCCAAGTCCTGCGGCGTTTTCACGGCCCGAGACTCGGGCCGTTGGCTCGGGGCAACATGCTGGTGGCTTCGAGGGGTGGAGATGAGCTATTTGCTTAAATCATGTTTTGTAGAATTTGATTCCTTGTCACTTGTCCACTCTTTTAAACCATCCTTCTTTCCAAGAACCAGATCCGCTTTCCCTGAATTTCCGGAGGTTTTCCAGAAAGAAGGATACCTGGAAAGAATGGTGTTGACCCAGACCTGGCAAGATTGCGACATCCTCAAAACTGTTTACCCGAAGAATCAATTAATGACCAGGACCGCTAAACCAGGTTCACCCCCCCGGCCCGGTGTTGGTAGTTGCTTAAAGGAACCCTCCAATCAAAGTCGGAAGAAGTCGGACAGAACGTTGTGGGCAAAGGGTGCTATACCATGAGGGAATTGCGCCGTCTCTCACCCCTACAGCTCTGACAGGCCAGTTGGGCATGTCAAAAATAGGGACTTGGACCCCAAAACAAATCTAAACCCGAAAATGAAAAAATGTACCCTCTCAAAAAACAAGGAGAGCCGGGGAACCCAAAAACCCAGATGCGAACACATATTTATGAATGACTGTCAGCGAACTGCTTGCCCAAGCAGTTTGCAGGCAGGAGCTCGTGGGCGACACAGGCAGACCGACAATGCTGCTATTGCTGCGTGGATTATGCCTTTTTGCTATGGCCCCTTGAGGGCTCCACGGACACTTGGGTCTTTGCAAGCAGCAAAAGCTCTTAGGTGGCAGCCTTGCGCTGAGCTGCAAGCATCGGACCAGAGCAAGAGATGCGAATCCAGGACGTGGCAGCGGTAGTCGCAACTACATCGTTGCAACAAGCCATGGTTTGTCACGTTTTCTCGGAGCTCTTGCGGGTGTTCGGCAAAGGGGCGTCTCCCACTTGTCCAAAGGGCATCACTTCGTGCGAACATGCACGTTCACTTTGTCTTTAAGGAAACCAACATTCTGGCTTGCTCTTTCTTATTTGCTTGCAATGTTTTTGGGCTATAAAGTGGTTCAAAGGGGACGGCGGCGCGCGCACCGCTTGCGCGCCTTTCCATGTGATGTCCATCTTGCCAGCGTTGGATGAAATTCACACGGTTGCAGCTGTCTGATAACCAAGCGACTGCGCCTTGTTATCGCTGCGCCTCTGTGGACCAAATCCCACCGGCACACGAACAACGCCCAGCATCTCCCGTCACCTCGACGCCGGTTGCATCCGCAGAAGCAAATCCCACTGGCACACGCCGCCGTCGCCTCCATCCTTGCCGCCTCCGCCAAGCCAAGCCCCACCGGCACACGGATGACCCCAGCTCGTTCTCGCTGCTTTCCTGGAACCAAATCCCACCTGCGCTCGGCGACCGCGCCTCGTTATCGCTGCGCCTCTGTGGAATCCCACCGGCACGCCCAGCATTCTAAGCATAGAGTGCGCAGTGGGTACACTACTACAGTTAAATTCAGAGCCTCGCTGACATGCCCGTGGCTCATCGCATGAAAGCTTGAAACAAGTTGTAGGCCTCAAGATCTCAAAACTCAAACATCAGGAACACAAAGTGGATTGAACACGAAGGCAAACGGGTCTCACAGGGGCGATGTGCTGAACAAACCTAGAGCCGCCACATGACATGTTGAACATGCCGCTTCTTACAGCGGAAAAGCACTTCATGCAGTGCTTGTGAGACAACCACTTTGCAGTGGACAGCACTTCATACAGTGCTGATGTCAAGGGCCAAACTGATCTCCTGAGTCAAGATGATGATGGAGTAGCCCGGGAAACTGCAAAGCTGATAGTCCAGGTCACACTAGGGACAACTTCAAACCTGTTTCTGGGAAAACTCAGCCTGAAGCTTGTCCCTTGCTTTCCTGAAGAAGCATGTGCGTGGCTAAACTCTAAGCCTAGAGTGTACAGTGGGTACACTGCAGTTACATTGAAACAGAGCCTTGCTGACATGCCCGCTGCTCAACACAGAAAGGTTGCAACAAGTTGTGGGTTTCAAGATTTCTCAAAGTTCAAACATCATGAAAACCAAGCGGATTGAGTTTCAAGATATGTCAAAATTCAAACATCATGAAAACCAAACTGGTTGTGAGTTTCAAGATATCCAAAAATTCAAGCATCATGAAAGCCAAATGGGTTTGAGTTCCAATATATCTCAAGATTCAATCATCATGACAACCACATGGATTGAGTTTCAAGATACCTCAGAATTCAATCACCATGAAAACCAAATGGATTGAGTTTCAAGATATCTCAAAATCCAAACATCATGAAAACCAAATGGATTGTTAAGATACCCCGAAATTCAAACATCATGAAAACCAAATGGATTTGAATTTCAAGATATCGCAAAAATCAAGCATCCATGAAAACCAAATGGATTGAGTTTCAATCTATCTCAATTTTCATTCATCTTGGAAAATAGATGGATTGAACATGAATCTGAAGGCGTCCCAAAGGGTGGAAGTGCGAAACAACCTAAAGCCACTTACAGCGGAAAACTTCGTGCACTGCTTGTGAGATAACCACTTTGCAGTGGACAGCACTTCATACAGTGCTGATGTCGAGGGCCAAACTGATCTCCTGAGTCACGATGAAGTTGAGGTTGCTCATGAAGAAGTTGCAAAGCAGTCAGCAGGTCACATTGAGGGAAACACCTTTAAACCTGTAAACCTGTTGGGTACACTGCATTTAATCTGACGCCCTACCCCCCCCCCCCCACACAAGAAAATCCAGGAATTTCAGCATGGCCAGGTCCAACTAAGTCTTAGCCTGAAGAGTTTTTAGAGCACTTTTATGATTGCAGAAAGACCTTCTACAACAAGAAAGGTTTCAAGGTCGTCCCGGCAATTCAGCCGGCAAGCCGCGCGCGGCCTCCAGCAACTCCCGTTACCTCGGCGCTGGTTGCAATTCAGCCGGCACACTCACCGACAGTCAAGGTCGTCCCGGCAATTCAGCCGGCAAAGCGCTCGTTCGGCCATTTCCCCGCCAGCGGCGCTTGCACGGTATGCCGCAAACTCGGTACACTTGAAGCCCGGCCACCTGCGGTATGCGGTAAACTCGGCAAAGCTCGGCACACTTGAGACCAGTCACGTTCTTGGCGGCGCTTAGCGCGGTATGCTGCAAACTCGGCCCTGCGGTGTGCGGTAAACTCGGCACACTTGAGACCGGTCCCGTTCTTGCCGGCAATTCAGCCGGCAGGCCGCCAGTTCGGCCATTTCCCGGCCAGTGGCGTTTACACGGCATGCTGCAAACATGGTACACTTCAGGCCGAACCCGTGCCAATCCTCGCTCTCTCGCGGTTAGACAACTAAACGAGAACCCAACCCCAGAGGTTTTTTCTTTGAAAAGCACCGTTTGCTCACTTGAGTCTATCCTTTCAGTGCACCACTTTGTTCTGGTATCCCCACAACAAATTGCCCAGAGATACCGTATGGGTATGAGTTTTGATTGGGACCCTTCGGACAGAAGGGTAGAGACGTATGTTCTAGGGGTTGATTCCCCATTCTTTTCAACCATCGTTCTTTTCAAAAACCAGCTGTTTGTCTGTTTGCCGGAAAAGAAGCGTCCCTGGAAAGAATGGGAAAGGTAGCCCTAGATATGTCCGCACTTTTCAGGGTTCTGACTGCAAACGCGCAACCACGAGTACCAGGTCCACCCGGGTGTCTTTTTTTAGGCACACAAAAAAGAACGACAACAAGCGGTCTTCCTGTTGTGTGCCCTCAACCCCTCCCCAAAGAAAAAGACAACAACAAACAAACCGTGTTCCTGTTCTGTGCCCTCTGGACCCCCCCCAAAAAAAAACAAACAAACACACGCACACACAACGAAAAAACACAACACAAGGGCGCCCTCAAACAAAAAACAGACCACCTTCACCGGTGATTCCTTCGAACCCCGCCCGGGTCGCACGGGTCGGTCGGTCGCGCCTTCAGCTCCCGCGCCGTGTCCCCGGCCAAGTCCCCCCGCTTGGTGGCCACGTAGCACCGCAACCGCCCCCCGGCGGCCTGCCCTGTCTCTGTCTCATCCCCAAAGTCCTGGCGCCACGAAGTCCCCGTTTCCTATGGGTAACCAAGTGGGAACCCTACTGTGGATGGACATCCGTTCGCACCACCTAAGAAGCCATGGAAACCAGAACGTCTGTGTGGGTATTTACAGGGTCATCATCATTCCAGGATTTCTTAGGTGGTGCAGGATTTCGTCCTTTGCTACGTTCTATGTTTAGTAGAGGTCCCAAAAGGTGAACCTTTTATTCCCCAACAGCTGAAAGCTTTGGGGTCTCAGCCCAAATAGGCTCCGGGGTGGTCCGGGGCGGCCCTGAGGTAAGGTTCCACCACGGTTTCCACCAGGGTTCCACGAGGTTCTGCGATGGCTGCGGGGTGGTGCGAGCACACTGCATGCTTTGGGGATATCGCCTGAGCTTTTTTCCTTGTCCTTTGGGCAAGTGAGCACGGGTAGTCAAGTGGGACCCCGTTGATGGGAAAACTCCGGTTTTGCGGCTTGCCTGGGAAATCCGGCTCTTGAAGCGCAATCGAAGCGCGGCCTTGTTTCCATCACGGTCTTAAGCCACTACTGTCTAAACAACCACCGGTTGGGTTCCCTTGGGTATGATTGACAACCCAATTTGGTGGGGGTTGCTGCTCAGGAATTCATGAAGAGCTCGACAAGGAAACCACATTCGGAAGGCTTGAGTTCTGGGGTCATTGCAACTCGAACCTGCCTATCGAACCCAGTTGCTTTGTGCTTTTTCGGAGGTACCCTGTTCACCTAAAAGAGGGGAGCCTTCTTTGGAAGCCTTCTTTTTAAGATCAAAGATTGACACACGCACGGCTTTCTGCGCCATCCACTCCATCGGACATGAGCCCAGATGTTTGATAGCTCACAGCCAGGGTGCCAATTGGGTGTCCTCTTTTGAGGGCACCCGTTCTGGGCTCGATTGAAAGGAAAACCAATGGAAAGCCAAAGTCTTCCATTTGCTGAAGCATATGTTTTTAGTTTCCCTTGTTGGTTTTAAAGGGAATCTGTCACTGCTAGACACATGTTCCCATTTTCGGGGACGTATCGACAAATGGAGGTATTGCTTTGGGGCGCATGAGCGTCTGAGCACCTCATCTCTACCATGTTTAGTCACGGAGCTTGACGGTTCGGACATGGGAACAAGCAGCAGCTGGGTGATGGTACCGGCATCTAAAACTGGGGGGGGGACCAACCCCCCAAAAAACACATTGTTGCCAGACAAGCACGCAAAAAACCGGTCCCGCCAAGTCAAAAACGACATCAACCCGCAGCCTGACTGCTTTTCTGGGAGGGCTGTCGAACAATAATTGTGTGTGTCTGCGTGTCTGCGTGTCTGTGTGTGTCTGTGCGTGCGCTGGTTTTTGGTGTCTCTGCGTGTGCCTGTGCGTGTGCTGGCTTTCTCCGAGTGGGGGGGCATGTTGTTTCTTCCCCAGCTGTAAGCTTGGGGGTCTCCCAAGTGCTGGAGGGATTCGCACCTGCAAGCATCGGACAGGACCCCTTTGGTTCTTGTCGAAGCGGACCTCCGTTGGAAGGCCTTTTTGAGGGCCCAAGACACAAAAAAGCCTGCCCGCTAAGAATCATGGCTGTACGAGCATAAACAAAATTTGGGCGTGCTCCACAACTCCATCAGTTATTCTGGGATTCTGCGATACCTATATGCCAGAATCCCGTCCTGGCTACTAAAATGCTGTAATTTACAGCATTTTCTCGCGAAATGTACGTATTCTACGCGTCCGTCAACATCACCAGCATCGTTTTCAACATCCCCCGCATGTCCAGCCAACATCGCCAGCATCACCAGCAAAGTGGCTTCCCGCATCTCATGGTAAAAGTGAGGATTCAATTAAAGGCGCAGGGGGGTGGGGGGGGGGCGGCAGCCCCCTTGAAGGGGGGGCGGCAGCCCCCCCATGATGATCGAAAAATTAGGGGCAAAGAATCTAAAAAGTAACGGTCGCATGATGATCGAAAAAGTGATGATTCAAGTAGGGGCAAAAAGTCCAAAAATAGCGGGGGGGTTGGGGGGGGGCGGCAGCCCCCCCCATGATGATTGACAAAGTGATGATTCAATTAAAGGCGCGGGGCAGCAAAAAGTCCAAAAAATAGCGGGGGGATTGGGAGGGGGCGGCAGCCCCCGCACGATGATTGAAAAAGTGATGATTCAATGGGCCAAACAAATATTAAAAACAAAAAGCAGCGGGGGGGGCATCAGTGCCTCTGCGCCAAGGCCTCATGGTACAAGTGAGGGTTCAATTACGGGCAAATTAATCCCTGCAGATCGAAAAAGTGATGATTCAATCAGGGGCAAAAAGTCTGAAAAATGGCGGGGGGGTTGGGGGGGGCGGCAGCCCCCCCCATGATGATCGAACAATTAGGGGCAAAGAATCTAAAAAGTAGCGGTGGCATGATGATCGAAAAAGTGATGATTCAAATAGGGGCAAAAAATAGCGGGGGGGCTGGGGGGGCGGCAGCCCCCCCCACGATGATTGAAAAAGTGATGATTCAATTAGGGCCAAAAAAATATCAAAAAGCAGCGGGGGGGTCATCAGTTCCTCTGCGGCAAGGCCTCATGGTACAAGTGAGGATTCAATCACGGGCAAACTAATCCCTGTAAAACGGCAGGCAAAGAATCTAAAAAGCAGCTGTCGCATGATGATCGAAAAAGTGATGATTCAATTTGGCGTGTATTTTAATCGCAGAGGAACTTGCGATGCTGAGGATGCAGGAAGCCAAGGCCAAAAACCAACTGGGAAAGCAGAGGATGCGAAAAGCCAAAGCCAGAAAGCCGCCAAAAGCCACAAAGCCAAAAAGCCAACGGAACTGGCAATGCAGAGGATGCGAAAGAGAGGAACTGTGAATGCAGAGGATGCGAAATGAAAAGCCACAAAAGCCACCAAAACCCACGTAAAAGCCACAAAAGCCAAAAAGCCGAAAAGCCACCCACCCTGAAAAACAAAAATAATTCCTAAAAAAACACGAAAAAAAAAATCCTAAAAAGAATGGCCCTCCTTTCTGAATCTTCGACCCCAATGGCTGGGCAGCTGTAGGCTTCACCCCCGCACTCAAGACCCGCAGCCATCAAGGAAGCCAACACACATGCGTTTGGGTTAAGCAATAGACATCCTAATGGGCGGTTTCCCGCTACCTAAAATGGGGGATACAAAAGACAGACACACCCAGTGTGTCTTGTTTTAAGGGGCCTTTTTGTGGTGTTAAAAAAAGCGCAACCAACAGGACACCAACCATTTTGGATGCTTTAGGGGGGAGAACCATGCAGGTCATCCATTTGGAGGTTCTAGGCGGCGCCTCACCGTGTTGAAAACCCTAGCGGAACGAATCGAATCTGCCTCGGGCAGATTCACGTAGGCCAGCCTGAAGGGAGAGGGCCGGGTCGACCCGAATTGAGTTGGAACCTGCCCCTTTTGGCTTCAGCTGGGCCACGCTTGGGGTTCTGGACATGGGGAAAAGCTATTTGCCAATTGGTTGGAACCTGCCCTTTCCCCAGCTACTGCTTTTTAGACAGCATTTGGGGGTTTTGGACGTGGGGAAAAGCAGTTCTTGGGCGGGTCCGAAGTAGGGTGTTTACAATTTTGTTTCTGCGCATTCGGCACACCCACCAATGTCTTGACTCAGAGGCCCACCAGGTTTCGCCGTTGGTGGCTTGGAAGGGTGTATGTGTCCAAATAAGGGGACACCCGAATGATGGCTGTCCTTTGAATTTCCCTCAAAACCCACACTTGCTGAGTGAGTATCTAAAAAGGTCCAAACTTTATATTCACCACTAAAAGGGTCTTCCCAAAGAGTGTGAAGTCCATGAACTCAGGCAGTCAGAACCAGTCCCAAAAAACGGACACCGACTCAAAAAAGAGTCCGCAGACGAGGTGCATGGTGAGCTCGCGGAAGTTCATCCAAGCGCCTATGAAAACAAAAAGAGCCAAGGGACCCCAAATGGCCATAGGATCATGTCAAGCCTAGCCTTGGAGTTGGTGAAAATGGCCGTGGTCCCCAAAAGTTGTGGTCAGACCCGCGTCCAGCCGCTTGGCACTGACTACTTCAAGCTTTCAAAGCCCGTTGTCAGATCCCCCGCTCAAAGTGAACAACTGTTCGTGAGATAAATGGAGACTAACAACTTTTGGTGTGTTAAAAGTGAATAACTTATTGGTTTAATAACTTTTGGTGTGATCCCCCCACTAAATACTAAAAAGCTAAAAGGCTGAGGAACCGGATGGCTGGCTTCGACACCAAGTTTTGAGTCAAAACGCGCAGATATTGGGGAGAGTTTTTGTTTTTGTTTTTTTTTCAGCAGGACAGTTCAGAGGGTCCTACAAGGAGCCCATTGGTTTGTCACCCGCCCATCTGTGCTTGGTTTACACTGGCCTCATTAATTTACCATGATCAAAGTCACCCCCAAGTGATGGGTAAGGGAAACAACCCCATTTTCTGACTTTGATAACCCCTAGAAACGGTCAAAATAATGACCCCAGTTACATGTTCAAGGAAACCACAGGACCGTCCATGCCCGAGCTCCGCGCAGGTGACTGCGCTAAGGCCAGACTCAACCACCCAAAGCCCACAAGTGACTGTCACTAGGGATGCCCAGCCCCCAAGCAAGGAAGCCAAGCGCCAAGACGGGACACCTTAGGTGAAGGCTAATATTTATCAGGCCCCTCCCCACATGAGCCCCCATCCCGATGACAGGCAACGCTTGGCAGATTTTGTAGCAGTTCGAATTCGAAACCTGCCTTAGAACCCCAGCCACCCACCCTCTCACCCACCCACCCAACCCAACCCAACCCAAACCCCACCCAACCAAACCCCACCCAACCCAAACCCCAGCCACCCAACCCAACCCAACCCAACCCCAAACCCCACCCAACCCAAACCCCACCGCCGGTCCCGCCTATCGGCCCCTGAAAGTCCAGGCGCCGGCGCTTGGCTTCGCCCTCGCTGCTGGGCGCCGCCTCAACGAAAACATCGCCGTACCACGTCCGGACGCCTTGGGCCTACTTTCTGCCTTCGTGAGGCACCAAACGACCCAGTTGGGTGTGGCTCATTAAAAAGAATAAAAAACACTTTGGTCAGTTACGCAGAACTTTGAGTTGCCAAGTGGTGCCATTTTGGGCCACATTCTCAGTTGTTCAGTGACCCAGTGACCTGGAGAAAAAGTTGGAACCCTTTTTGGGGAAGACCGGATTTTTAGTGGGGCAGCCACTGAACAAGGGGTGCCACTGAACAACTGATTGGATGTGGCTCAAAATCGAAAAGACTTCGGTCAGCTGCGCGGAACTTCGCGTGTTGCTTTGCATTTGCTCCAGTGGTGCCATTTTGGGCAACGTTTTTGGGTTGAGCCATCGGAATTTGCTCGCGAGAGAACCACTTGCGGCAAGCTCAGCTCCCCCCACTGCCTGCTTCGGCACCTTTGGCGTCAAGTGCCGCTGCCACTCGTTGTCCCGGTGCTGCGCATAGCAGGCCTCTGGACGCCAGAAAAGGCAAAGAACGTGCTAGGGCCTTTGGCCTTTTGGGGGGGAAACGAAGGGATTCCAAACCCACAAGCAGGTTTCAGCAAGATCCTTCTCCCTATTCCGACCATGCCCCATGTGCATGATAGTTTTTCCCCTGCTTACCTTAATGGCCAAAGGAACCACCCTGACCAATCAGTGACACTGAATGAAGGCCACTGAAGTGTAATTCCCATGACCTTCTGATCACTCGGTTGGATTGCCTCGCAGAAAGTGGCAAGACGTTAAAAACAAACTGTCCACGACCAGGTTTCTCTCATGGACCAACAACCGGCGGAAATCGGTCAAAAACAGTGAAAAGCAGGTCCCAAAATCATGAAATATCGGCCCAAAACGGCCCACATTCGGCCAAAATCAGTGAAAGCCAAAGCCCAAAATCATCAAACAGCCAAAATCGACCACACAAATCGTTGCCTCATGTGGCTGTGGGTCAAATTGGGGTAACCCCAAAATGGGTTGCCCTGGTAAGTGGCAACATGGACCAAAACCTGCGGTCCATATCCTGGTGGTTTAATTTTGACCCATACCCATATGGCCGTGGGTCAAAATCCAAAACGTACCCCCAGTGAACATCCCAATCCAACCACTAAAATAGGTTCTAAAATGGGTGGTGAACTCACCTACCAACCAAAATGGGATCCCAAAGCGGTTTTGACAACCACACCCATATGATCAAAAGATTCTGCACCTAAGAAACCCTGAAATTCTGATGATTCTCCTATAAATACCAACAAATAGTGGCATTCCCAGGGTGGTGCACCTCTCCAAAAATTCTGCAGCCTGTGGTGCTGGGCCCCCAACCCCCTGGCCGTCGTAGACCGCAGCCATGCCCAGGCGGCTGCACAGCAGCGGCCAGCCGAAGCTCTCGCGCAGCCTACCGAGTCGAACCTTCGCATCCGAAGGCCACCTGGTCTGAACGGAGACACGGAAATGCATATAGAAATGAGTATACACATATATATATATATACACAATGCCCGTATACTCATTTATGTATTTATTTTTATGTGTGTTATATAAATATAGAAATACATTTAGAAATAAGTATATAACATATACCCAGTTGTTCAGTGACCCTGGAACAAAAGGGAACCCTTTTGGGGAAGACCGGATTTTTAGTGGGGCAGCCACCCAAAAAAAAGGGAAAAAGGGTGCCACTGAACAACTGAGTATATGTAGATATGGATCTACATATACCTGGACCCTTAAAATGCCAAGTGAAATATGGGTTGTTGCGCCAAAAATGGTTGGTGGATTCCCTGTGGTTAAGAGTAGTTTGAGGAATAGGTATATACATATTCGTGCAAGCGCACATCTCTATAAATATATTCATATATGTACATGTGTACAACATGTTGCAAGTGGGTCTTGTTTCAGAACATCTGACATCTTAAGCAGGTTCCATGAAAGTCACAAGGTTTCCCCGGTAGATATGGGTTCCTGTTGGTTTCCCTTGAAACCAACCTAAAAATGGTACCTTCAAAAGAAACACCCAAGTAAAAGCATTGTGGCTCCATCAAACACCTCCCCTAAAAACCCTTAACCCCAAAATCACACTCACACCTCAAATCCACCAGAGGGTCACTGGATTTCTACTCAATTTACTGTTGGAAACCCCACTAAACTGATTTCCACTTTGGGTGTGTTTTCCAAAAGGGATAAACGGCTTGGACACCAGGCGTCACTGACTACGTAGCTGATCTCCACTTTGGGCGGGTTTTCCAAAAAGGGATTTCTCCCTAATCAATTTACTGGTGGAAGCCCCACTTTAACAGTCAAATGCACCCAAAGTCTTGGACACCACGCCACCGGCCACCCGACCGCCCGGCCACCTGGCCTGCAGGCGGCCGCCTCAAGGCGCCGGAAGAGTCGCAGCACCGGCGCAGGCGGCGGCGGCTCACCCCCTGCGAGCGAGCGGAGCTTTGGGGCCATGGGCCGTTGGACTTGGAGGGATCTCGGTTGCTTTCTGCTCCTGCTAAACGTTTTTTTTTTAAAACTTTTGTTGATATTCAAATGTGTACGTATATATATGTAGGGCCCCCAGTATAACTGACATAATTATAGTTCGATATTCAAAATTGTATATACAAATATTACTATTTCCCCACATCTTTGTGTGGGGTTCTTACTTTTTCCGCTCGTCGTCCGCGCGCCGCGTCTCCTCCTCCTCCTCCTCCCGCTCGTCTCCGTCTCACTCACTCACTCACTCTCACTCACTCAACTCACACTCACTCAACTCACACTCACTCACTCACACTCGCTCACTCACTCACTCACTCAGTCACTCACACTCACTCACACTCACTCACTCACACTCACTCACACTCACTCACTCACACTCACTCACACTCACTCACTCACGCTCACTCACACTCACTCACTCACGCTCACTCACACTCACTCACTCACACTCACTCTCATTCACTCACTCTCATTCACTCACTCACTCACTCACTCGCTCACACTCACTCACTCACTCACACTCACTCACTCACACTCACTAGAGGGACAGGATGTTGTCGCGCGCGCGGCGGGGGGCGTGCGAAATCGTGGCAGGCGCAGCACTTTGGCGATGCCGTTGCGAAATCGTGGCAGGCGCAGCACTTTGGCGATGCCGTTGCCGAAGTCGTGGCAGGCGCAGCATTCTGTGCATCTGGGTGTGTGTTTGTGTGGCAGGGGTCGCATTCGGCAGCTGTCTAGAGGGACAGGATGTTGTCGCGCGCGCGGCGGGGGGCGTGCGAAATCGTGGCAGGCGCAGCACTTTGGCGATGCCGTTGCGAAATCGTGGCAGGCGCAGCACTTTGGCGATGCCGTTGCCGAAGTCGTGGCAGGCGCAGCATTCTGTGCATCTGGGTGTGTGTTTGTGTGGCAGGGGTCGCATTCGGCAGCTGTCTAGAGGGACAGGATGTTGTCGCGCGCGCGGCGGGGGGTGTGCGAAATCGTGGCAGGCGCAGCACTTTGGCGATGCCGTTGCGAAATCGTGGCAGGCGCAGCACTTTGGCGATGCCGTTGCCGAAGTCGTGGCAGGCGCAGCATTCTGTGCATCTGGGTGTGTGTTTGTGTGGCAGGGGTCGCATTCGGCAGCTGTCTAGAGGGACAGGATGTTGTCGCGCGCGCGGCGGGGGGTGTGCGAAATCGTGGCAGGCGCAGCACTTTGGCGATGCCGTTGCGAAATCGTGGCAGGCGCAGCACTTTGGCGATGCCGTTGCCGAAGTCGTGGCAGGCGCAGCATTCTGTGCATCTGGGTGTGTGTTTGTGTGGCAGGGGTCGCATTCGGCAGCTGTCTAGAGGGACAGGATGTTGTCGCGCGCGCGGCGGGGGGCGTGCGAAATCGTGGCAGGCGCAGCACTTTGGCGATGCCGTTGCGAAATCGTGGCAGGCGCAGCACTTTGGCGATGCCGTTGCCGAAGTCGTGGCAGGCGCAGCATTCTGTGCATCTGGGTGTGTGTTTGTGTGGCAGGGGTCGCATTCGGCAGCTGTCTAGAGGGACAGGATGTTGTCGCGCGCGCGGCGGGGGGCGTGCGAAATCGTGGCAGGCGCAGCACTTTGGCGATGCCGTTGCGAAATCGTGGCAGGCGCAGCACTTTGGCGATGCCGTTGCCGAAGTCGTGGCAGCCGCAGCATTCTGTGCATCTGGGTGTGTGTTTGTGTGGCAGGGGCAGCATTTTGTCACTCATTCGCTCGCATTCATACTCACACTCACTCACACTTCTCGGATGTCTAAAGGGTCGTCTACAAGGCTTGTGTAAGTGCAGAGCTGTGAGTACATGAGGCAGGGTGCATTGTGAGGCAAGCTGTTGGATGTTGAGATTGGGCTCGCAGAAGCTTTGTGTCCAGGGTCACGAACTTATATTTTGCAGAAGTTTTGTCAGAAGTTGGCAGAAGATTGCAGAAGTGTTGTCAGAAGTTTGCAGAAGAATGTTGAGCAGTTCGATCGCATGGCAGTTGTTTGCGGGGTGAGGTGACAGAACGCATGCTAGTTGTCTCCGCGATGTTCATGAGCCCTGCCACAAGCTTGCAGCACAACCACTTGCGCACGGCTCAAGCTTCTTGAGGTTGTCTCCAACTGCCTTGTTGTTTCACAGCCATGAGTTTGAACATCCAAGGCCAGCCATGGGGCATCTTCTTCAAGTTGGATAAGCTGCTCCACGGCTGCCCTGCCAAGCCCTCGGCGCTGCTGATGGATTCACAATGTAGGCGGAGCGGTCCGCGTTCTGTCGACATTCCAGCCGCAGCGCGCACCTTCATTGGAACCTTTCAGGAAGGCAGGCCCTGCAGGTTCCCCGCGGAGAAGCCTTGAGATGGACATCTGACTGAAAAAGCTTGACTTCATCGTCCAACGGATACCACAGTGCTATTTCTCTTTGGGAAAGTGTCCAGATCTTCTCCGATGCTGAGCTGCAAGATGACCTCCTGAGATGCACGTGCGGCGCAGCCAATAATCTAACAAGATGGACTAAGTTCGAGAATGTCTCGAACTTGCTTTGTTTTGTTGATTAGCGGCTCGGGCTGCAGTAGGTTAGCAACGCCTGCGATGAAAAAAGCGCGCTAGACCTGCTCTGTAATCGCATCCATACAAGGGGCGCACGGTACATGTGTGTGGACATTTGAACTCACATCCTTGAGAAAAAACATAGCATGTGGGGTTATCCGGTCCTTTAATATTGTTATCTTGTTTTATTTATTTATTTATTTATTTTTTTTTGGGGGGGGGGGGGTTGATCAAAATACCATTTAGGGGTTACAGTTTTGACTATGGCTAACTTTGCCCATGAATCTAGGGGTACCTTCCATGTCCATTCTTTCCAGGGATCCGGATCTTTTCAGGAAACCATCAAACACCCAGGGGAAACAGATTTGGGGTTTAAAAAGAACGATGGTTGAAAATAATGAGGAATCAAGCCCTAGATACATGCCCAGATGGCGACCAACCAAAATCCAATTTTAACATGATAATTGGAATTGGAGGGATGTTCGTAGAGAATTGGAGGAATGTTCGTAGAGAGTTCGTGAAAATGATACATGCCCGAATGGCGACCAACAAATATGAAGGGGTGCTTCCACTTGAAAAGGATACATGCCCAAATGGCTACACCCAAAAAAGGATGTTGGCATAAGCGTCCTGTTGAAAAAAGAGATGGCACTTGAGTCAAGCTGAAACCAGCGGAACCCTGTTGTTCAACCAAACTCACCGATCAAAAGACCAGCTCTGGGTGTAGGATAGTCCAACCATTCAACAAAACATACCCAAATGGTTACTAAACAACTAGCATAGCATGGTTTGGAAGGTGTTGGATGATTGGCAGGTGAGGTATGGGGGTGTGAAGTCTGCATTGGAGGGACCCATGGCGCTTATCTTCCATTTGCTTAAGCCGTAACCAGCGGGGGGAAAAACATTTCAGCAAATGAAAGTTCGCGGGGGTAGACTTCCAGACTCGACCACCCCACCCCCACCCCCACCCCACCCCATCCTACAGTTAGACAGGGGCTTTCCCGTCCGCATTTTGCCATCCGGTCCTAGGGTCCCCCCCACACTTTTGGGCACATTCTGAATACGCCCACTAAAACAGCCCATTTTCAACATTCAAATTCAATCACCCACCCAATCCAACGCCAAAAAACACATATTCACATACCCATCTTCATTTCTTACCCCATCTCAACATCACCCTTACACTCATTCAATAACAACAATCATAACTACATACCACCTCAACAAACCCCACCAAAAAATCCAAGCTACACACCAACATTGTTTCATTCCCAAGATCGCAACCCCAAGATCTCAATAATTTCTCCCTTGATCCAACTTGACACCCTTTCCCATTTCCAACAAATACGAACAGTCTAAAAAACAACCCTATGTTCGCCCCGAAAAGTGGTTAACCAATGGAAAAAGGAATATTCTAAGGGCTAACTCAAATCTTGAAAATAATCTGTGTAACATGGGATGGCAAAATGCGGATTGAACAAGGCTTCAGTAGACACACCGCCCTAGAAACTGCCGAAACTACCATGAAACAGCAAAAAATGCCGTTGGAACTGCAACAGACGCTGTTGGAACTGCAAAATCTGCCGTTGGAACTGCAAAATCCGCCGTTGGAATTGCAAATCCGGTTTTTCCAACACCGCCTCTCCCCACCCCACCATTTTTCACCGCATTTCAGTCGCTTGAACGAGTCAAGATCATACCTTCCATGAACTCACATACTGCTCAACGTTGACCTTGCATTTCTCCGAAACACCCCATGTGCCGACAACCTTCTGCCTCGACGCATATCCTTCTGCAATGTCACCTTCAGGAGCGACTACAACCCACTTGATGCTCTTGACTCCATTCAGTTGGAAATAGTTGTTGAACTGCTTGTAAGAAGCATCAATCTTGCAGTCGTGACTTTTTGCCTTCGTGACCTGCAGTAGCCAAAGCGTGATGTTCTTGCCCTCATTGGTAACAAAGAAAAAATCAGCGGCTGGAAATGTCTCAGATTCAGGACAATACAAGCAATTCTCATCAAATTCTGGCAAAGGCTTTGGTGGTGGCTGGTCACCCAACTTCTTGAGCATCTTCTGCAGGGTCGGGATGCAAATTTTGACTGCAGCTGACTCTGTCTTGTCCTTATTCGTCTTCAATGCAGTGCAAACAAGCTCCACCTTCTTGGATTTGCAAACCTCGGCGACATGCATCTGAAATAGCCGACCGCACAGTGTGCCCAAAGGGGTGATATTCAAACTTGCCCTGATAAGGTCAGGAAGAGCTTTCCGTTGCTTCTCTGCCAGTTGGTCACACAAAATGTTGAGAACAACCTCGGACTCAATCAACTTCACATTGGGCGTCTGAAACTTGGCATCCGAATGGATGTGTAGCACCCGACTCATCTTGCTCCTGTTGTTCTGTGCATCCATG